TGTATAGAGGTGGGAAGTGGAGAGTGTCATTGGCTACTTTTCTTGTACATCACCCAGAGCCATATTGTTTGAGTTGGATAGCCAAATAAATAAGAAGATGGATTAATCCTGTGACCTGCATTATCATTAATATAATAAATATTAAGTACCGGTAATTACCAGATAACTTTACTGGTGTTTATTTCCAGTTTCTGGCAAAACAAAAAACAAAAAACCCTTTCATTGGGTAAAAATGGATTCATTTCATGACCACAGCATTCTCTTAAGCCTATTGCAAAAATGCTGGAAAAACAGTTCCAGTCACATGATGTCTTGACTTACGACTGTAATTCTATTACAATTGTAAATCAGGGGCTACCTTCTTCCCAGAGGAACTGAGACACTGAGGCTATACTTTTTGCAGCCTCTGCACTCAGAGTAGTGGCTCCTGCAAAAGCCCCTACTGATTCCTGAACAAATTGAGGTCCCTTTGTCTAGTCTCACCTTCCTCTATTTTGTCTCAAGGCACTATAGCTTCGACACTATTTTTTTCATACAGTAAATCAAAGCACTCCTAGCTACAGGAGAAAATATGTATTTTCATTTTTTTGTTTTTGTTTATTCCCCTCTTGCTTTTCTACACATTTTGATTCATTTTATTTCCAGCAGGATTTCTGCTGCTCATTTCACAGGAAGAAATAACTTTCCCAGGTTTTAGAACTTCTTTTGGACCTGCTAGAAATTTAATAGAGCCGAGGTGGCGCAGTGGTTAAATGCAGCTACTTCAGCTGACTGCAGTTCTGCAGTTCGACTGTTCAAATCTCACCGGCTCAGGGTTGACTCAGCCTTCCACCTTTCCGAGGTGGGTAAAATGAGGACCTGGATTGTTGGGGGCAATATGCTGACTCTGTAAACTGCTTAGAGAGGGCTGAAAGTCCTATGAAGCGGTATATAAGTCTAACTGCTATTGCTATTGCTATTATTTATTAAATATATCAGTGGATATCAATGTATTTTACTGTCAAGCTATAGTGCAAATTCTACTACTCATGTACTACCGACAAGTGCCATATACTACTATGAGAAGCCTGGACTGGATTAATTGTTCCTGACATTGGTTCCTCCTAAGATATGTTATGATTCTGCACAGGTGCATCATACAGCAAGCATTTCTTGTGCTGCTAGCCAGACAGGGAGCAAAACCTGACTGGATGTAAAACCTTACTTTTCTCACCACCGAATTGCATTTTGTTGGATAGGGTCCAGTGTTCGAGTCTGTCAATATCTTTCTGGATCTTGAGCCTATCTTCTAAAGTATTAGCTATTCCTTCCAAGCTTCATGCTATCTGCGAATTTGATAAGTTCCCCTTCTATTCCCTCATCCAAATAATTTATGTAGATGGGCCTAAGACAGAACCTTGAAGTACCCCAATGCATGCTTCCTTCCATGTAGATCTAGTTCCATTGAGGACTACACATTGAGTGTGGCTGGACAGCCAGTTATGAGTGCATTTGATGGTGATGCTGTCTATCTCACATTTTTCTTTATCTTGGCCTGGGCCAAGAGAGTCCAGGAATCCAATAAACAAGCAACAACAACAAAAAAGACAAGAAACAAAGATGTGGAATCCAGAACTCCAAAGATAATACAATAAAGCAAGGTAAAAGCAACAGAGCTGAGATTTACAAAATTGTCTTTGTAGAGAGTGAAATGAATAAATGAGCCAAACTGGGCCTCTACCCAAATGCCCAGCTGAAGCACTGTTAGACTTTGCTCTCCTGTGACCCATTTTTTGGCCAGTCTGGCTGATCTGAAGAGCTCAGCCTTCTGTTGTTGGATCTTTAAAGCACACCTTTGTTTAGGAGTGGAGGATTGAAGTTCATATCTGAGAGGCTGTTAGTGGGTGCAAGCAGGGAGTACTGGATTTACCTCAGCCAGAGGCATTGGCTTCATCTCCTGCAGGACTATTATCCGTAGATATCCTTGGCTCTTAATTACCCTTCATCAGAAGACAAGTCAAGCAAGGCCACAAAAAGGCACTAGTTTTACAGCTGATGATTGTCATGGTGTTTTAGGAATGGACCATGTTTTTCAACAGTTTGGATTAATGAGGGTGAGCATTAAAAATCGATGCACATTTGGAAATGCCACAGCCGAAGATGAAAAAGCATAGCATTAAACTTATTTTTTTGCTTCAAAGAAACCTTGAACTCTCCATGTTCCTGAATATTCTATTCTTGGAAAAATAAATGCTATTTTAATTAGCATCCTATTAACCTAACATGCATGTTTTGTAGTCCACTAGAAGCATAACTAGTTTTGTTTTTTGTTTTTTTTAGTTTTTTTTAACTAAAAACTAAAAACTAATAACTAGAATTGGCACCTAATGCAAATGTTTGAGATCCAACAGCATTTTCAAGAATTACCGTACAACTCAAGAATGGACATTGAAAGTTACAAATTTAGCCGAGATGGCTAAAATATCAGCATATCTTAAAGATCACTCAAGTGAGAGATATAAACGAGACTGGAAAAAATGGATTGACTATATACAAAATAAATACGGGACCAAGAAATTCCAGTTAGCCTATGCTTAAGATCAGAAATGATTTAAATTGTTTAAAGTTAGCTCAGCAAGAAGAAGCTAAGGTCAATGTAGAATGCCATTAATTTCTTTATTTCTTTTTTTTCAACAGATTTTAGACTGTGTTTGTTAAAAATCCATACCGTGTACGGGTTCTGGGAAGTCGGGGGGGGGAAGGAGGAGGGGGGTTAGGGGGGAGGGAGGGAGGGCTATGCATTAGGCTAGACAAGAATTTGGTGGTAAATTAGAATTATTTTGACATACAAAAAATTGTACTTTGATGTCTTACTGATTGAGGAATGATGAAATGTTTGTTTTAAAAGAAATAAAAATTTTGATTCTCGAAGAAGAATTACCGTACCTATAGGCTTTAAAAATTTTTAAAAATCATGACATAGCAGGCAAGTGCTTAAAAGAAGTACTCAACACTTTTCACTAATGGAAAGTTCTATACATCCAGCCCAAACTGGAACATTTTATCCTTTGTATAAATTTCTTTTTATCCTTTTTGTTGCTTTAACCATTGTGCTAGATACAGCCCTTGTTTGCAAATAGTTGACTCGCCTTGGTAATATTTATTGATAGTTCATTGTAGGGCAGGTTAAACAAGTGATCTATGAGTTTTCTACAAGAGATCTTAAAGTAGCCTTCAAACCTGACTACCTCTTCTGTGTTGTTTATTAGTTTTTACTGGGCAGAAACCTTTTGGTTGTTTCTTTCCCAATAGGTCTGTAATGTTAGAAAATCACCTTGACTTGCAAAGAACTTGCATCAGTTTTCATATTCAGCATTTGGATACTTAGAAACAAATTAATGCATTGTGGTTGGATTGCATGTAATTAATACTGAGTTAATTTTATTTGAACAGTTTCATTTCAAAGATTTATAAGATCCCCCAACTCAGAAATTGATACTGCATGATAGATTATAAGCTACCCTATATATTATAAGATGAACAACAAATATAAGTCTGGAACTGCGTTTTTAGGGAGTAGGAGTGAGCTAATATTCCTCTATCATAATTTGTGATTTGTAATTTGGATAAAATAAACTATTAATTTCTCTCTGGTACATTAACATGTCAGAGGGAAGAGAAAGAACAGGGACCCTGTTGGTGGGAGAAAATAGTCCCAAGGACTGTGGGGAACCTGATGGTGGGAAGCAGAACATGGGGTATCTCAGGGGGTGGGGGAAGACTGAGGCATCCCATGTTCTACTTAACAACCCACACAGTCATTTCATAACCACATCAGAGAAAGCAGGAGATGGGGTCATTGAGCAAGGTGATCTTGCTTAACAACCATTACAACATGTGACCATGATGGACAGGCTCCATTATGGTCATAGGTTGAGGACTACCTATATAAACATATTTTGAATCTCTGTTGGAAATGTGAACGATATAAAGGGACATTCTATCATGTTTAGTGGATATGTAAAAGAGCTGTAAAGATTGGATACAAATACATTAATTCAGGACTAAACTCCAATTAAAACAAGAGGCTTTTCTTTGGGAACTAATGGACAGTTAACTAGAAAAATGACATGGACTTTTATTTTTATATATGACATGCACAGCAAGATTGTTAAATGGTCAAAGTGGAAAGGTACGACACTACCCACGAGAGAGGTTAAGATGATGGAATTTGCAGAGCTGGTTAAATTAACTTCTTTGATTAAAGAAAAAAGACAATATCTACATTTATAGCTGACTAGAAACCCTTTACAGACTGTTTTCATGAAACAGAAAAATGGCTTGTGATTTTGATGATTAAAAAAAAATAGATGATAGAAAAAGTGAGCTTTCTCTACTTATAGAGTAAGGAATGAGTAAGCAAGCAAATATCCATTGTTATATTTCGTGTAAAGGAAATTAGAAGACTTTTTCTATTCCTATTCTTTTATTTCTACAATTTTGTCTTTTCTTTTTCCTTTCTCTCTTTCTGTGTCTTGATTTATGTATTAGTTTGTGTTTTAGTGTTCTCTTTAAAACTTTAATAACATTTATATTAAAAGAAAAAGAGTGATAGTATTTGCAAGTGCTTTCTCCGTCCTCCCTCCATAAATGAGACAAATACTCTTCGGTTTCAAATGGCTCACCTTCCCATTTCTTGCAGTATGAAGATTTTGTTTAGAAACTCTGGATAAGTTCGCTCTCACACCAAAATACTATAGTTAGGAGTTTAATGACAAGATGGCTTTCCTAATGTCAAAATACAGCTTTCCTTTCTCTCTGCTTTTTGTTCTGTGGCACAAGTGAATGATCTTTAATGAAGTACAGACAATGATGTAAAATGTAAACCTTGTCCGCACTTCAACCTCAGGTTGAGGTAACTACTCTATCAAATTAAGTCCTCAGAATGCATTCAGACTTAACAGCTTTTCTCCACACATAAATCTCTAAGCCTGACTCCTGTCCTTGTGCTTATGTTACAGGTTATGGTCACACTGTGCCTTTGTCAGATGGAGGAAAGGCCTTTTGCATCATCTATTCAGTTATTGGGATTCCCTTCACCCTGCTCTTCCTGACAGCAGTGGTGCAGCGCATCATAGTTTATGTCACCAGGCGGCCTGTACTGTATTTCCACATCCACTGGGGATTTTCGAAGCAAATTGTGGCCATCATCCATGCCGTGATTTTGGGCTTTGTGACCGTCTCATGCTTTTTCTTTATCCCAGCAATAATATTTTCTGTCCTGGAAGATGATTGGAACTTTCTGGAATCATTTTATTTTTGCTTCATTTCTCTCAGCACCATTGGTCTTGGCGACTATGTTCCAGGGGAAGGTTATAACCAAAAATTCAGAGAGCTATATAAAATAGGAATTACATGTGAGTAACAAATTAACACCCTAACAAGAAAAACGCATATTTCTTCTTAATAACTCTTTATATTATATAACTGCAGATACAAAAAAAAAACATTAATGAGTTTTTTGAAAATCTTATTGAAGTTCTGCTTTTTCTTTAATGTGTAATTTACATGTAATAACAAAGTGCTATAGAAGATGTACAGGTAAGTCCTTGACTTGTCATCATTTATTTAGTGACTATTCAAAGTTACACTGAAAAAGTTGCACTGAAAAAAGTGACTTAAGGTTTAGTCACACTTATGACCGTTGCAGCATCCTCCTGATCACGTGATCAAAATTCAAATGCTTGGCAACTGGCATGTATTTATGACAGTTGTAGTGTTCCCAGATCATGTAAAATCCCCTTTTGCAACCTAAGAAGCAAAGTTAATGGGGAAGCCAGATTCACTTAACAACGGTGCTATTAACTTAACAACTGCAATGATTCACTTAACCACTATGCCAAGAAAGATTGCAAAATGACTAAAGCTCATTTAAGCTTAGTCTTGCTTAGTAATTGAAATTTTGGGCTCGATTGTGGCTGTAAGTCAAGGAGTACCTGTATATTCCATTCTGACAAGCAAAGTTAACCAGTCAGATATTACTAAATGCAATCAAATACTTATAAATGATTCATAGAATAGTTATAAATTGTCTCTTTATAGGAACCAAAAATTAACAATTAAATGGAGCCACTATATTCAAGAAAGTATATACATTATATCAGATCCTTATTTTCTAGGACAGGAGGACACAAGCAACAATCACCTGAAAGTTGGATGTATCATCAGAGTTCCTCCAAACATTTCTGTCAAATTCTGATTTTTAATGTGGCAAAAAGCAACTGGATATTCAGCTCCTTGATTTTTATTCCTTATCTTAAAGTACATTTTCTTACAAGTGCTTATATTTTTAATATTTACAAGATTAATAGAGTAACAGAAAGCAGAGTAGGTAACTCCAAATACTCCTGATTTCTATCACTCTTCGTAATGTAATCTTTTTATCACTTTTTAAAATATTTTATTACATGCTTATGTAGCTTCTATCTCTTAGTTTTCAGCAGGTGTTATATACATAGGATAATAGGGTGTTTACAATGCAACTGTGTAGGTAATATGACATCCAGCCTTTTGTTGATAGCAATTATTAGAGTGATATTTTTAAACAGATAAATATAGTCCCAAATTTATATTTAATTAGCAAGAGTATTATTGTTGATTGTATAGTTCTTGTATTATATTCTGCTTGTATAACTAATACTGTAGAACTCCATATTGATCTACTTGCATGATAGAGATAACAAGAGAGAGAGATATTTGCTGGGTTTGAATAAGCATTTTCGATTGGATATACATACATACATACACTCCTTATATATAGATATATCAGTGGTGGGTTCCCATTACAACTGATACGGTGCAACGGGGCCCGGCGGCCACCACATGAACGCATGCATGCTTCCTTACCTCCCACGTTGCTCCACGACACTCCCAACTGCTCGTCAGAGCGTCATGCAGGCGCCGTACGCTCCGTGCGCTGAAGTGCCAAAGAGCTCAAATACAGGTAAGGATGGCGGGTGGGCCCTCTGGAGCACTGTACTGGACCAGTACCCGGTGCTCCCGGCAGGCATTGGTACGCCCATACCAGGGCATACCACCTGCAACCCACCACTGAGAATATGGCGCAGTGGTTAAATGCAGCACTGCAAGCTACTGCTAGATCAGCAGTTCAGCGGTTCAAATCCCACCGGCTCAGGGTTGACTCAGCCTTCCANCTCCTTGCCAATGAAAATCCCTTCTGCTTCAGGTATTCAGGTATTTCCAAATCATTGCTTGGAAACACTTGAAAAATACACTTGGCAACAAATAAAGGCAAGGAAATAGTGAAGTGGAAGCAAACACCATCCAGTGGGAGCTCAAACATTCATCATCATTTACCCAGCAAGAAAATTCATCCCAATTAATCACGAACGGTACATATGTCCACATCACATTAGTCACTGCGGGATAAATTTCTTAGACTAAATATGTTAAGTGCACTGGATGGGCAACTTAATACACAATCATTGGAAGAGACCCCCTAATGGGGGGGTCTTTCCAGCCCCAAATAAGTCCTCTACTTAGGGCCCAGCCACCTCCAGTGGAATACAGGTAGTCCTTGACTTACGATCATTCATTTAGTGACGGTCCAAAGTTGCAACAGCACGGAAACAAGTGATTTACTACCTTTTTTCACATTTATGATCGTTGCTGCATCCCCATGGTCACGTGATCAAAATTCAGATGCTTGGTAACTGGCATGTACTTATGACAGTTGCAGCGATCCGCTTTTGCGACTGTCTGACAAGCCAAGTCAATGAAAAAGCCAGATTCGCTTAACAACCGTGTTTCTAATTTAACAACTGCAGTGATTCACTTAACAACAGTGACAAGAAAGGTCATAAGATGGCCCCAAACCCACTTGACAAATGTCTCACTTAGCAACATACGTTTTGAGCTCAACTGTGGCCGTAAATCAAGGACTACCTGTATTCAATATTTCTTTCATGTATTCATTTCATGCATCTATTTATATTTAAAAGAAGATTTCGGTTCCTCATTTGGTGATAGTCAAATTGCTAGATTCCACAGATAACTGAAGAAACCGACACAATTTCTTTGGAAAAAAAATTAAGTGACTTTTATTTATTAAATCGATTTATAGGCCGCCCAATCCCGGAGGACTTTTGGAATAACAGCAGTCCAAAACTCAAAATAAATAAAAGAGGAGAAAATATATAAGCGCAGGGACATTTGCTGAATATCTGTTAAGAAAAACGCCACCTCCTTTCCAAAATACGCTGTGAGCATGTCTAATCCACAGGTGCCCATGACAAAGAGATGAATAAAATCAGAAAGCACGATTAATTTGATGGCTTATCGTATCAGATTGAAAGCATTAGTGATGAACGCAAGAGTGATGAGACATTCTAAATATGCCCATTTTTCAGTTCTGTCAGGAGTGGATCTTGGGAGAAGAAGAAGCAGAAGAAAGAAAAGATTTTTTTTTTAAAAAAAAAAAACCTGTAAATAGATGAGAACAGAAATGCGAGGACCGGAAGAAGTTCCACATGAAAAAACATGATGTCCGACAGAAGGAATGGAAAGTGGATGAGCATAAATAAGATGTAGAACTTGAGAACTAAAAGCGGAAAGTGTTATGTTATGGAGTGCTAGCAAAGAGAGTGGATTTAAACTAATGGGAACCATGAAAAGATCCTTGTGGATGTAATGGTCAGAAGAAACGACTTTTTTAAACAGAATAACGGAGTCGGAAGGGACCATGGAGGTCTTCTAGTCCAACCCCTTGCTCAAGCCTATACCATTTTTGACAAATGGTTATTCAACATCTTCTTAAAAGCCTCCACTGATAGAGCACCTACAACTTCTGGAGGCAAGATGTTCCACTGGTTAATTGTTCTCACTGTTAGGAAGTTTCTCCTTAATTCCAGGTTGCTCCTCTCCTTGATTAGTTTCCACCCATTGCTTCTTTTACCCTCAGGTGCTTTGGAGAATAGCTTGACTCCCTCTTCTTTGGGGCAACCCCTGAGATATTGGAACACTGCTATCCTGTCTCCCCTGGTCCTTCTTTTCAATAAACTAGGCTTTACCCCATTCCTGCAACTGTTTTTCCTATGTTTTAGCCTCCGATGCTCTAATCATCTTTGATGCTCATCTCTGCACTCTTTCTAAAGTCTCAACTGTTTAAATATCTATTATGATGACCAAAACTGTATGCAACGTTTCAAGCGTGGTCTTCCCAAGGCATTGTAAGATAGTATTTAACCCTCCACGTGATCTTGATTCTATTTCTCTTTCTTCTACATATTCCATTTCTGTTTCTTCTTCATTTCTCATCGTTTTTAAGGGAGGATGTAACACGCACATTAAAAGGTCATTCAAAGCCTAAATGTTGGAGGTGTGGTTCTCTCGATGCTACATATTATCATATATGGTAATATATGATATTACCATATATGATAATAGAGCCAAGGTGGCGCAGTGGTTAAATGCAGCACTGCAGGCTACTGCTAGATCAGCAGTTCAGCGGTTCAAATCTCACCGGCTCAGGGTTGACTCAGCCTTCCATCCTTCTGAGGTGGGTAAAATGAGGACCCAGATTGTTGGGGGCAATATGCTGACTCTCTGTAAACCGCTTAGAGAGGGCTGAAAGCCCTATGAAGCGGTATATAAGTCTACTGCTATTGCTATATGGTGGACCTGCCAAAAGGTTAAGGCATTCTGGATAAAAATATGGTGGGTTATGCAAAATATTTTTAAAAGAAGGATAAAGTTTATTCCTCAGTTATTTTTACTAGGTATATGTACTGACTTTACAGTGGTAGAGACTAACTTGATTCTGCACCTAGTAACGGCAGCAAGACTGTTGGTGGCGCAATACTGGAAGGAGGAAGACTTGCCTACAATCCAAGAATGGACATTGAAAGTCACAAACTTAGCCGAGATGGCTAAAATATCGGCATATCTCAAAGATCACTCAAATGAGAGATATAAACGAGATTGGAAAAAATGGATTGACTATATACAAAATAAATACGGGACCAAGAAATTCCAGTTAGCCTATGCTTAAGATGGGAAATGATTTAAACTGTTTAAAGTTAGTTCAGCAAGAAGAAGCTAAGGTCAATGTAGAATGTCATTAATTTCTTTATTTCTTTTTTCTCAATAGATTTTAGACTGGGTTAGTTAAAAATCCAACCGTGTACGGGTTCTGGGAAGTCGGGGGGGGGAGGAGGAGGGGGGGGAGGGAGGGAGGGGCATACAAAAAAAATTGTACTTCAATGTTTTAATGATTGACGAATGATGAAATATTTGTGTTTTTTAAAAGAAATAAAGCCTTATCTAAAATTTAAAAAAAAAGGTCATTCAAAGCGACTCTCTGAAGATGGTGCTATATGGTCCTCTTTCCTCCTGGAAT